AAACCTAGATGGTCAAGTACTACTTTCCATCTTTTTCGGAAACAGATTTTGTCCCCTTTTGTATACAGTTACCTAGGAATTGCCTTCATATCTCAAAATAACACAAAACGTCAATATCGTTCGACGCGATTAATACCTACAAGTGCGAAATTGGTTCGGTCAGTATGATTATTGGTGCACCCAAAGGACTATATCCACTGTCTTTCACGATGCACTTAATGTAATACACCGGTTGAATTTCGGACGGAAGTTCTCTCGCCGAGACAAAATAGGCCCTTGTATTCCTACATCCGTGAAGCCAAATTTACTGTCATCCCACCACCTCAAGGTGGCTGTTAGTGGAAGAAACATGCAATTAATGTTGCCGGTAATTAGCTTTGCGTTGGCGAGATTTCAATGCCTGAGTGTCACGCTATCGCCAGAGGTGGTCTTCGTGCTGCGGTAGGTAGCCACGGGTCAAACAGACAATACATACCTATTAATACCCTGCTGATAAAATATATTTTATATGTGGACAGGTGGAACGGATGCTTTTAGTTTGAAAGCAATATGGTCTTTTGTTTGTAATTTTAAAGAATGTTTTATTTTCGGTTTGGAATCATATTATTTGTTGAAATGTGTTTGTGTGAGTGTGCTCATAAATATTTCACGGTTCTCTCTCTCACTCTCTCTCACTCTCTCTCACTTTCTCACTCTCACTTTCTCTCTCACTTTCTCTCTCTTTCTCACTCTCTCTCTCGGTCTCTCTCTTTCTGCCTGTGTCCTCTCTCTCCCTCCCTCTCTCTCTCTGTCTCTCTCTCAAATTGAGGCTAAAATAGTAAATTATAAGAGCATTTAATCTAGAATCCAGCCTTGAGTATAATGTAACTTAAAGTTGTAACTTCAACTCACGAACAAAACTTTATTCAAAAAATGTTTTGTGTCCAAAATGTGCTCAATTCATCAACTGCGAGTTCTAAATTCCACACTTTTAAGGCGAGGTCTGTGTCAGTTGGTAACGAGGCGTTCGCAGCCTCTCTCACAACCAAGAATAGAAGATTTAATCAATCAACATCCGAGTTCAACAACACAATCCGCTGATGGTATGCAGTAATGATTTAAATACTGCACTTCCCGCCTGAAGAGCAATGAAAGTGAAGGTGACAAAGCAAAGCCCACACAGTGGCATCTAGACTGACGTAGTCTCCGTTTTATCACACTGACCGAGTGCAGATAATGCTCAAGTTGGTTCCAACAAACAAACAAAACAATATTATCTAGATTTTTTATTTCAGCATTTGACAATCGATAAAAACCTTCTTTTGAATTTGGTAAAGCGTATTGTCAGTTATTTGAAACACAACCTGCCTCAAGTCTATCTCTTCACGTCTTTAAAGATTCAGGTATTTGTGGTCTTGTAGAAGCATATTTTATTAGTTGGCCAACTTCATATTCCCCGTGCTCAGTGGCTCTTTGTCACATCTCTAGGATGTTGTTGTCTAAACGTTGTTTGTGAGCCGAGAAACTGATGTGCAGCCGATGATGACATGAGAATATCTTTTGCTAAAATTGGCAAAATTGCATCTATTCACGGCTAGAAATACCATCTAGCCTTCTGCACTGGTAATCCGTAAGATGCTAAGAACTGTTTTGCCATATGAACACTTGGTGTTACTAGCCTAACACTAATGTCAGGGTGACAGTTTGACACTTGTGTTTTGTAAGTGGCTTGTGACGTGCCGTCATGTTGGGACATCTGGTGGCATTGATGTTTTAATATCACGAATGTTCGAACTAGGTTTTACACCTTTATATATGGGGGTGTTTGAACATGTTTTTGACTAGGATGTGGACACAGCTGATGTCACTACAGTTTGTGTTTAACGGCCTGCACAAGCCTATGTCTGATGTGTTTTGAACATGTTGAACTTTGTAATATTGAAGATGTGGACAACTGATGCCAGTGATATTAAGCTTCGCGTCAGATTTGATAAACGTTTGACGTATTTGAACTTTTTTGTATGTTTAGACATCTGTTGGGAACTGTGTTTATGACAGTAATGCCTCGACTTGTCTCCTTCTATCAAGTATTTTACATGGAACAACAAATGCTTTGGTCTTGGCTAAGATTAGATGTATTTCGATTCGATACAACAATTTCTTTTCTGGACATTGGGTAAAATGTGGTGCTTCACAGGGTGGACTAAATTATGTTCAGGTCTGTATTCATTTTCATTTCGATATATTTAAAACTATTATTGACTAATTCAGTTAATGACTAATTTCTTATCATTTGCGTACAAAGTGCACAGTACTTGAAGGGATGCTAGTGTGTCATAGGATCACAGTTTATGATGCTTTTGTTTCGCTTGATTCCTCTTCTTCGTCTTCACTAGAAATTTCTCTTGCAAGATGTATAATCGGCTCGTACTGATCTTGTCTAACATCCATACAAAAATGACATCGCGAACATCTTCTGCTGCTTTAGAATCCATTGTCACTGTCAATCCATTGTCACGTTGTCAGGTAAACTCAAAGAGGAAGCCATCACAAAAGCCACATATGACGTCTTGTCCGCATCTGCTCATTAACTGTCGGGAGTTTCCGTGATACCTGTTTATTGCGATCTTACACACATTTTGTTCAATTTTAGTCATGGTAGGTCACCAAGTTTTCCTCTGAAAACATTCACATTCAATGATTGATGGGCTACTACTGCCAGAGTTTGACACATCGGCAAATTTAAGGTCCATTTTAGTTCACAACGTAGAGGGGCGGTGGGGTAGCCTAGTGGTTAAAGCGTTGGCTCGTCACGCCGAAGACCCGGGTCCGAATCCCCACATGGGTACATTGTGTGAAGCCCATATCTGGTGTCCCCCGCCGTGATATTGCTGGAATATTGCTAAAAGCGGCGTAAAACCAAACTAACTTACTCACTCACAACGTAGCGGAAAAAAAAGAAAGGAACAAAGAAAGTACACAGATCAGCGAAACTTAAATGGTGGAAAATCTTACAATAACACTTCTGTAACAACCGAAACGCGAATAAGTATGCTGTTACTAAAAAGACATAATGTTCTGGATGATTGTTTTCCAATTGCATAGTGCAATCCATTTCTGATAAAAAGGGTCTTTGTGACATTTCCTTTATTTAAAGTAAGGGAAATATTCTTTAATGCTTTAATCCTACTCATACGTGTACAGTGTACAAACGATCAGTGTTTATTTGCGGATCAAGCATGTTATTTTGAAGGACATCTTTGTCCAGCATTACCATATGTGGAACCTTTCTATATCCACTGGGGACGCCGCCTACGCTGGAATTTCGTTGCAGCCTTTGAAATTGAAAGACAGTAGTAAAGAACAAATACACTGTATTTACCCTTGCTCTCGGTTCTTAAAATTGGCTTTTTGCACTAACGATGTCATATTACAATGTATGCATTAGACGTGTATTTGTCCACAAAATACATAAAAAGTCACACAGTCACACGCCTAGCCTTCACGTACTCATGTAGTATTTCTAACATGTTATGGACGTTGTATTATGTTTATCTGGTTACAGGACCTGACTACTGGGGCCTCCTGAACCCTCACGTACTCATGTAGTATTTCTAACATGTTATAGACGTTGTATTGTGTTTATCTGGTTACAGGACCTGACTACTGGGGCCTCCTGAACCCTCACGTACTCATGTAGTATTTCTAACATGTTATGGACGTTGTATTGTGTGTATCTGGTTACAGGACCTGACTACTGGGGCCTCCTGAACCCTCACGTACTCATGTAGTATTTCTAACATGTTATGGACGTTGTATTGTGTTTATCTGGTTACAGGACCTGACTACTGGGGCCTCCTGAACCCTCACGTACTCATGTAGTATTTCTAACATGTTATAGACGTTGTATTGTGTGTATCTGGTTACAGGACCTGACTACTGGGGCCTCCTGAACCCTCACGTACTCATGTAGTATTTCTAACATGTTATGGACGTTGTATTGTGTTTATCTGGTTACAGGACCTGACTACTGGGGCCTCCTGAACCCTCACGTACTCATGTAGTATTTCTAACATGTTATAGACGTTGTATTGTGTTTATCTGGTTACAGGACCTGACTACTGGGGCCTCCTGAACCCTCACGTACTCATGTAGTATTTCTAACATGTTATAGACGTTGTATTGTGTTTATCTGGTTACAGGACCTGACTACTGGGGCCTCCTGAACCCTCACGTACTCATGTAGTATTTCTAACATGTTATGGACGTTGTATTGTGTGTATCTGGTTACAGGACCTGACTACTGGGGCCTCCTGAACCCTCACGTACTCATGTAGTATTTCTAACATGTTATAGACGTTGTATTGTGTTTATCTGGTTACAGGATCTGACTACTGGGGCCTACTGAACCCTCACGTACTCATTTAGTATTTCTAACATGTTATAGACGTTGTATTTCTGGTTACAGGACCTGACTACTGGGGCCTCCTGAGCCCTCACGTACTCATGTAGTATTTCTAACATGTTATGGACGTTGTGTTGTGTGTATCTGGTTACAGGGCCTGACTACTGGGGCCTCCTGAACCCTCACGTACTCATGTAGTATTTCTAACATGTTATAGACGTTGTATTGTGTTTATCTGGTTACAGGGCCTGACTACTGGGGCCTCCTGAACCCTCACGTACTCATGTAGTATTTCTAACATGTTATTTCTACATGTTGTGTTGTATTGTGTATCTGGTTACAGGACCTGACTACTGGGGCCTCCTGAACCCTCACGTACTCATGTAGTATTTCTAACATGTTATAGACGTTGTATTGTGTGTATCTGGTTACAGGACCTGACTACTGGGGCCTCCTGAACCCTCACGTACTCATGTAGTATTTCTAACATGTTATAGACGTTGTATTGTGTGTATCTGGTTACAGGACCTGACTACTGGGGCCTCCTGAACCCTCACGTACTCATGTAGTATTTCTAACATGTTATAGACGTTGTATTGTGTTTATCTGGTTACAGGGCCTGACTACTGGGGCCTCCTGAACAAAGAGTGGAATCTATGCAGTAAAGGCAAGCACCAATCTCCTGTCGACATCAACCCAAAGACACTCGTCTACGATCCCAATCTCAAACCACTACGCCTTGATAAACACAGGGTAAGATAATGACACAGTGAACATGTGTATTCCGGATACCTCGCTATACCGAAAGGGATGGGGATGGGGTAACCCTTGACTTGTTAATCCAGACATTTGTGAAGGATCTCTTCCATATGTATGGTTATGCCTTGTAAGGCGGCCAGTTGCTGTCAAGTTGTAAAGATGACGTCCCAGATCTTCAGCTCCCAGACTCTGGCTGATGATGGTCTCATGCTGTCAGCACCACATTCGTGATTTCATAATGTGTAAAGACGACAGGATCTGCTTCACCTTCGCATTCTCCAATTTCAAGAGACACGTATTTCGCTTACGATGTTTTCAATCAACCTTCTCAAAAGTTCAACAATTCCGTGTTTTTCCAGATATCATGACACTAGATCGTAATGATATCACTTTAACACAACCGAATGGTTATTTGGCATCATACGAAATGTAGACGTATGCAAAGTAAACGGTCTGCATGTAATGCACCCTTCATGTTACGAGGGAATAACAAAACATACATATGATGTTTCCACGGCCTTCTTTATCAACACCAAAACCTGTCACAAATGTTGCATTAATATCCAGTCAGTTATATACGTGTGTCACGTGTTGATGAAATAGTAAATAGTTTATTGATTTCTTTGTCATATCCGAGAAAAACCTATGAATATTGTATAGGGTATTATTATGTCATAACGGAAGCATGGTGTAAAGTGAAGCATACATATCTGATCAGGCTACGCTCTCATTCAAGTCACCTTGACCACTGCAACGTTGTAAGCCCTTATCTAAATTCGCAATATGATCTGTCATTCTGCTGTCTAATTTATCGATACTTCTTCTTAATGTTGGATATTATACTCACACTGCTGTCATATTGTAGAACAGCAGTCCACACGGACAGAAGCACATTTCAACATTGTGTTTTAAAAGAAATTCCACGAGTAAAACAGAAATATATCGTGATCATATGATTAAGGTGACCATTAAGTATATTTGTATATTTTTATTACATACAAACAGGCACAAATAGTCATCAAGACATCTGAAACTTACAGAACCTTTCAGAAAATGATCACGACCACCATCTTAGAAAACCCGAATGTGGCATAACGTCAACAATCGTCACCTTTGACATCGTGTATAGTGTCATCCCAACCTTACGTCACTAAAAGATTCGAATGACGCCAATAACGCCGTCCGTATAACGTGAACAATACACCGGTGATACTTTCACGAGTGCACGTATTCCTGACCCTTCAGTCATCTAAGGTGGCATGTCTGAAAATAACTCTCTCAACTAAATACATGTGCCATATCAATGCATGTGTGAATAATTTAAACTGCTGATGAAATACATTATGGAACTAGATTATGAATACAAATTACTGAACGAGTCACCATGAGACAACGTTCTTATTGTGAGGAGAATGTGTATATCGTATCTTGAGTTTTAAGCTCGGCCATGTGTAGCTCATGCTGGCTGCTGTTCCAGCACTTTGTTTGCAGGTGTATAACGGAGGCTTTTCAAAAGGTTTCCAGAGAGCCATACCGAAGTTGATTCGTTTTGATAATCATGATTTGTAATAAAAACGACATATAACGGTGACAAGGGCAGCAGTATTTTATTACTCGCTTCCCCTTCACATACTATCGACATTCCATGTTGAAAAAAGACAGCTGATGATTTGACGATAGACTGATCTCTCTAGGTGCAAGCTATAGCTAGCAAGGGAAAGTCCAGCGTTATTCTACCACAGGATTATAAGAAACAACGAGATGGCAGTTCTAAAACAATATTCAGGATTGAATCTATAGACACAAATACCAGCAGTACCAACAAAGGTTCTCAACATTTCCATTCAGAAGAAAATCTAGCTTCCAACTCTACATATATCTCCGTACGGTGTATTGGTGAGTTGATCCTGGGAGACAATCAAGTCGAGTGACCATGATGGATGTGTGACGTACGTCGTGTCAGTAGATGGTGTACATGTCATGAAATTGGTTCCAATTACCGTTAACCTATAGCATTTGGCCCTTTTCGGAGCACAAATAATTACACGAGATTGCATCGAATGACAAAAGGACGACATGTGAAACGACTGTTTACTTGATCCAAGGGGCGCTACTCTCATTTACCACAACACGTTCAAGGTCGTGAACAGACGCGTCGATGAATGCTGAGCTGATCTTTGGACATAATACTTTGTTCATGCTCGGAGCTAGAATCACAGTGATTATAATCAATGACAAAATAAAACCACAATGTTTGCACTGCTTCACTATAAAGGCAAGAGTCCGAATACTTTATATCAAACCTATTTGTAGTTCCGTGATCAGCACAGCCAAACGGAAAAGTCCTGAATCCAGTAAAATATGTCGACGATGCAGTTTTCAGATCTATGCGTACATACATATGCGTGCAACAGCTGTGTAGGTCGGCAGTGGCGTCGGCGTGGAGGAGTTACAGTGCCACATGTACAGGTGCCCCCATTCGAGTGACCAGCAGTCAAAAATAAATAGTCATAAATGGTGTTGTCACAATATTTGTAATAACGGTGTCAAGATATTAAACGAGTTATCTGTTCACGGATAAGTCGAAGTATATTGTCCCACGTGTACCCACAGACTCGGTCACGTGGTTGACTGCGTGTTGATCGTTGTTCACGATATTAGATAATTAAAAGAACATTCATACAGATAGAATATCGCGTTTTACAACAAACTAAAAATGTTTTGCCTCATGAAAACGACCAAAATTGGGAACCTGGCACTCTTTCGTAGAGTTCATATTTACACCGGAAGAAGTTATCATATACTAAAACTGTTTTCTTCAAATTCATGAGTACATTATACAATACGATAAATCCAACACATGGCAGTCGGGCAGAAATTTACATTGGAATTTGGAATTCGATAGAATTTTCATTTAAACAACACAACTTTAGCGTTCTATTTGGCGCCTTCGAACACTAATGTACTCGCGAGATGTATCACAATACCATAAACAAGAATGTAAATGAAACGAATTTCATCGTTAAATACACGCTGTTTATATATGCATGAGACAAATACATGGCGTCTTAACAAACAACCTATCTGAAGGGGGAAATGGAATCACGAGGATAATGTGTTTCCTCTAAAAAACGTCCTCTGCGGCTTAAATACTTTCCAATTCACATTTTAAGCTTGATTAGCCGTCATGGAGGATTCTCCCTCCGTCATTTGAGATTAGAGAAAAATTGGTTCAGCCATTAATCTCCGTTTGTGATCACCAACCCGCTCTCAAAGGGGTTAGATCATCGTGGTTATTGCTTTAGAATTTAAAGGCTTTTGTTAATTTTATCGTACAGTTCACTTTTATATTAGTGTTGTATTTACTCTCCCTGGTTTGATAAATCAACATGCGATAGGTTTATGGGGGGTGATCAATATCATCTTGGTGTCTATTAGCAAGTTGTTTAACAAACTCGAACATTTCGTATCCGGGGAGAGATTACAGTTAGATAATATCGATTTCAATATCAGTGAGCTAGAAGATGAGAACGAGGTTGGATTGATTTTAAAACAAATTGCTATTACATGAGGGGAATTGGGCTTTGAAAAACTGATTATCGCCCTATCGAAATTCGTCACTCCAAACAAAAGAAATCAGGAACATTTCGTTCTTACCATTCGCCGCAATAAGACATCAACGTTCCGTTTGAAGACTGTTGTTTTAGTTACTTTGAATGTAATTATTTGTTGAAGAAATACTGTTATTTTATTCAGAATAAGCACATTTGCCAAAGAAAGCAATTCCCAGATCTGTATTGGTTGACGCGAGGCAAGATTTCATGGCATCACTCAATGGTAGTGGACTAGATAAAGAAAACTATTGAAGATTTTAGATGTTTAGTTGTTGGTGTATAATTCCTCATCAAATACTTATGAACAATTCCAAAATTTTGTAAATACATATTGCTAGAAATCGACAAATCTTGAGGCATTTGTGAAAATATGCATCTATTCATCCTTGGCAGCAAGGATAATTATATTGTAAAATCTTAGATCTGCCTTCGATAAAATACATCATCAAGAAACGCTGAGGATGTTCTTGGATTAACGATACAGTTACAAAATTAATTATTACAGTTAAAGAATGACACCTTTACTATGAGCATCGGTAAAGTAAATAAGCGTAGGTCATTACGTATACGTAACATGTACGGTATTAGGTAGGTCTACAGGGACACGGTCCAGTCAGCGACACAATTCTTAACGTAACGGAAGTGAGAGTAATCTTTGTGCTCGAATCCCTGATGTTTCCGGATTAGGTTTTTCTCATCATTCCCGTGCCCATGGGTTTCAAAGGTGTACACAAACTGCATCACACATCTTCAACTTTTGTTCTGCTCCAATTCTATATTCTAAATTCTATTAGGTCTTATGGTGGAAGATAAGAGCCTGTGAGTTAGTTTGGTTTTAACGCCTCTTCAAGCAATATTAGGGAATCGGGGAAGGCTGTTTCCAAGGTTGAAGCAGCTGAATTGAGAACTGATTTCTCTTTCCACAGATTGTGGTAATGGAAGATTGGATGTGGAGTGTATAAATATTTTATGTATTTTGAATGTATAAATATTTAATTTATGATTGTATGAATGAAAACGAACAGCCATAAGACCGTGCTGTGGACGAATTGAGCACAGGCTTGTGGTTAATAGCATAAACAAAGACGAACGATGAAACACCTGATCCACATTAGTCAGCGCTAACACGGGGGACATTGGGCTAGCCCACAGACAGCACAGAGGAATATAGATAAATGAGTTAAATTCATCCTGTAAAACACCTGTGTGTTGATTTGAAATATTCGGATAGGACCAATGATTTGATACGAGAGGTTCCGCTGTATCGGGATTCTTAGAAGATTACGTAAACAACCCTCTACAATTTTGTCTCCTCCAACGAACCCATACTTATATTTATCCTGTTTTAATCAAACAGTTCGGCGTCGTTTGTTTACAATTATCAACAAACTTCTTTAAAAACGAAATGGTCTTTGAAGATTAAAGCTTGTTCTACAAACAAATGTGTCTTTAAGATGCTAAGATCTTTAGCAAAGCCCCCGAGGCATACTAAATGGTGTTGAAAGAGAGGGAGTTGTTTTCAAGAACAGTCCACTCACACGACTGAACGTATCGATTGATGTTTGTGCATGATCGATAGCATATCATTAATAGCATCAGCAAAACGTTTAGGTTTAGATTGGACGTGATCGATAGCTTGGCAATGTTATTATGTTTGCTACTGAACCAAATCGTTTTTCAAGCAATGTCGCAATTTGAAATGAATACCTCCGTGTTTATCGAGTTTTTTTCACAAACAAACATTCATTGCTGTAACATGTAATATGCATATTAGTTTGACATCAGTTCATACTATCCCTACCTCTCAAATAGTGTTAAATTTCACCAAAATTTCCATTTATCCAAACTTATCACCTACACATGTTTTAACATATATTTTAAGCCATTTGCGATCATCTAGCTATGAGTTGGGTGCGGCTTACAGCCGTGCCAGGATCTGCTAAATCGATGGTTGTCATACCCAAAACATATATGCGTGCTGTAGGTTGAAGTGTGTGCCCTGCTTCACAAAGAGCGGCACGATTTAGTAACTCCCGTGTTTTAACATGAGTTAGGACAGTCGGAGAGCTACAATTACTTTGTATAACAGGATCCCCTTGCATGAAGCGATCGTAACGATAAGGCGACTGTAACGCCCTTATTTTAACATCGACTTAGGACGGTCTTAGCTCTAAGATCGCTTTGTGCAAGTGGGCCCTAGCAGGTAATTCTTATCGTACGAGATGACGGAATGGGTCACTGTGTAGAAACGGTAATGTTGTAGTAAGCGTGTCGTTGTATCCCCACGGCGCTGAACGTTCTTCAAATTATCGGTCACTTGTATTAGTAGTTACAGGCCGCAACGTGCCATGTGACTCAGAGAAAAGAAGCCAAAAGTCACGTCGACAGGAAAAAAACTGACAAACCCTACCAGTAATATCAAGCATTAGGAACCACCCACGCCATGGGATCACGAGGAAACACCATAAGCATATCCGATTCATACACGCATGCGCTCACACACACATACGCGAAGCACGTACACGTAACCTGGACATGAACAACGTTGTATACAGAATATGGATAGTACAACACTTACATATTGTATGTCCAATTCTGATCCGTTGACATGTCTACTGGTCACTAAAAAATATAATGTGAATATTAACCATATGTGAAAGTTCCATGAGTCTACTTTAAAACCCTTATCTGTCAGGCGTTCATTTGTAATTGGGTTGAAATAATCATTAAAATGAAAAGCGTTAACGTTAATATTTTCTGATTAGAACATCTTCCAAGGAATATGTATGAACCGGGTACGGTTTTGAAATTGGTCACCTACACGTGAAACAACAACACGGCTTGTTTAGACAACTGTTGTAGTTAAGCTCTTTACTTACTGATTATAATGTAAAAGTAAACGATTGTTAGGCAAGAGTTCTGTTGTTTTTCAGTTTAATGACTCCGTTTTTATCCTTGATGACAGACACACGACAGAAAGTTGAAGAAATTCAACACAAGTCTGAAATTCTTCTTGTTCATTCCTCCATTCGATCGTTTGGACATACCAAACACACTGCTTAGAGTCCGTAAATCATCAACAATTTGCTTGCAGTCCTTAAATCAACCACAAACATAGCCTAACCCTAAGCTTGTTCTGTTTCTACAGGTGGATGCGGCGTTGATGAACACGGGCCATGATCTCCTGCTGAAGGTGAACACCACATACGAGCCTTACTTCACATTTACTGGTGGTCCATTGTCATATAAGTAAGTTTATCACCACTATAAAGGGAACCTTTGTTGAGTTTACTGGGTCTACATGGTCCCGTCATTCCCGACTTCAGATTATAACCCAAAGTGTTCTTTTTTCGCCCAGTAACTAGTGAGTCACACGCAAACATGCTCAGCAGTCAACGCATCCTAACGATTTTGTATAATGTTGATAATGAGTCTGCGAACTGAAATAATCATTAATTTGCTAGGAACACAATAAACAAGTACTCCGGAGAGACCAGAGTAGCTTGATGCTGCTTTCAGGATTATTGAGTACCAGTAACGACAGTTGAACGTCCAACTATCACTCCCTTTCAAAATGCTGTTCATCTGCCAAGGGGTAGTGCCAATAAGAGATTCAGCACAATTTAGGAAAGAACAAAATAGTCGACAGACAGAATGTAACTCTGAATTATTGAATGCGTCTACATCATCAAAACAATACTGTAGAGCACTTTTGTGAGGTCCAACTTCCTCAGAGACGTGACGTCAGGTGAATAGGTGTTTGACGTTGAGTGACGGATGTTCATGCGTGTGTGTGTTGCTAGTCCGGACTAATGCCGGTTTTATAGTGCTAGCCTACAAAGATACCACGTGGCTAGCCGACTCGGACACACCCACACGGCTAGACCTTGTTTCATCACCATATTACTCAAGTACTATATTCTGACGTCTTTTGCGCCATCACGGAATCTAACAATCAAGTCTCAAAGAGGACGAAAGGGGTAGTACAAAATGACAGTATGCTAAAATATCAACATAATGGCTTTTGGTTGTTACAATAATTCAGTTGAACATATTTAATTGATTTCTGTCATTTCTGTTTCCTTTCCACAAGCGATGCCTTCGTTGACTGGCTCTCCTGGTTGGTTCAGAAGCTTTCTGCTTTCATTCGCTGTAGTTTTTCTATTTCAGAAGCAATGCTTCAGTTTTGAGGCTGAATGATGATGACTGTGGCGTTGCCCAGCACGCAATCGCTCTCTATAATGTTTCTGCATATAGACAAATGAATAATAATTTCAGGTACAGAGTTCACCAGATAAAACTTCATTATGGGCGAGTTGACCAAATAGGTTCGGAACACTCGGTCGCCGGACGTCCATTTCCTATAGAGGTAAGATCATAAATGCCATTTTTGATTCGTCTGTATTTTTCACAAACTGTAGGGCCGTGAATCCAAATACAGATACAACAACGTATAAAATATTTCATTAAATTCATCTTATAAAACATGGCTGTCAGGTTGCATAAACTACCGGGCAAAAGAAAGTTATCACCGACTTCACTTCAAAGACATACATGTATGTGACATTTATGATAATTATTTGACAATCAGAAATCATTTTCCAATAATGTGACTGAAAAGTCATTGTAATGCTGGCCTTGCATTTGCTGCAATTCATTAAGAAAGAGTCAAGGGGTCAAAATAGCAAAATTACACCAATCAGTTCATTCACAAAGTGCATAAAGAGTCCCTTGAGTGACAGGAGGTCGAGTGTGACCACCTAGGGCATCCATACACGCCAGCACAATCATTGGCGTCGTCAGTCAGTGGGAATCCAGTCCAAGAGAGTCTGTTCATGTTCCCGTTGGTTCGCTGGAGGTGGTACACGCTGTCTCAGCTGACGATCAAGGTTATCCTAGAGATGTTCAATGGGGTTCATGTCTGGAGAACGCGCTGGCCAAGGCAATACGTTGATGTTAACGTTGTGCAGGTATTCTCGAACAATTCTGGCAGTGTGAGGCCTTGCATTGTCATGCTGCAAACTGTCCCAACACTTCAACCCTGTAATGCCTGGCATTCAGATTTCCTCGAATGATAACCAGTCTTGCTGTTCTCTGGCCACAAATGCCGCCCCATACCACCGCCCCTCCTCCATCCCTTTAAAGGGATGCACTTCTCCCAGTCTTGGCTCCAGTCGCTCTCCTCTACGTCGAACTCTGCCATCGTTTCTGTAAAGACTGAACCAATTTACCTCAGGCTCTGTAAAGAGTACTCTGTCCCAGTCACCCGTGAAGGTCCGGATTAGAATATTGATCTTCAATAACCCATGCTTGTCGTAAGAAGCGACGAACGGGATCGGGTGGTCAGGCACGCTGACTTGGTTGACACATGTCATCGGTTCCCCATTGCGCCGATCGATGCTCATGCTGTTGATCACTGGATTGTCCGGTCTATACTCGATTATTTACAGACCGCCGCCGTATAGCTGGACTATTGCTGAGTGCGGCGTAAAACTAAACTCACTCACTGTCCCAGTCCCGTCACTGCCACCAGCGTACAGTTCGTGCCCCTTCCAAACTGCGTTGACGGCGTAGACGGTTCAGGGTCATTCAACGGAAGCGGACGTAGGTACGCACACCAGCCATTCCAAGCTGGAAGGACTGTTCGCCTGCTGATGGCGTGTCTTAGTGCTGTCCTCGCCGTCGCCGTCACGAATCTGTTCCGGAGGTGGATCTGCTGGATATAGAGGTCTTCGGCCGGTGTGTTTTTTACTGCATGTTTGCTCTGTCCAGCATCGGCATTATGCCACGACCATGTAGTTGCCTTTGGACCCATGTTCCACAATTGCCTTTTTCACCTTTAAAAAAATGCACGATTCGTTCGAAGTTTTCGGACAGCTGCGTTGTTATTGTGACCATGATGCGTATTGGAGAATGTTTTCTGCTTGGGTTCAGCATTTGTGTGTTTTTATACAATTACTTTAAAGGGATGGCTTTCCTTTGCCCGGTAATATATAAACGCCAATGCGAATTCTTTTACGTAACGTCACTGTTGCAATGGAACTCTATCGTGTTCTGTCCTACGTTGGTGATTTGTGTGGATACACAACTCAAAAGTCAACACTCTCGATGGGGAAACTATGCTATGTTTTGAATACACAATGTCATTTAGAAAGTCGTCAAATGTAATATCTGGTATATTTGGGATTACACTTTCTCAGAACTTTACTGACTAAGTGTAATCCCAAACACAACATAATATTATATTTTATGCTGTTTTGTCTGCTTATCCGAATACAAAGTAATTAAGAACACCCATTCCGATCTCAGTATGAATCAACTATTAATGGGAAACATGCACGTTTTAGTTACAGATATATGGATATAACCATGATTTGTACAGCAACTTCACAGAATCTCAAATGATGCCCCATGGTATTGCAGCTATATCTATATTTGGTATGGTGAGTACAATCAGTTTTTGTCCATTTGTATATAATCTCATAAGGATCTTTACACTCTGTTGATCATTAGATAAAAGTATTTTGTGTCAATATATTTTAAAGCAAACATGAAACAAACACAATTGTTGATGGAATAGATCTCCAGTAGTTCATGCTTGTCGTAACAAAAGTATCAGAATCTGTGATCACAGCGTGTAACCTGGTCGAATGTGAACCATCAGGCAACTGACGACTTGGAACGTTGCTCTTGCGAAACGCCTATAAAATATGACTAAACACAGAGGCAAAAGTTAGTGTGGCACAAATACAGCACTTGTAATTGTAATTGTTTACTGCCGCGAATACAATGTCATTACGTGGAAAGAGAATTGTTTCAAGGTGTGGTAACAATCTCCAGCTGATAAGAACAGCGCACCTGGCATTTAACAATAGAGGGCGTTCACAAGCAGGTTCACACAGTAAGTAGCAAGTGTGTCCACCTTGTGCATTGATGCAGACCTGGCACCTCCGCCTCATTGACGCTGCTAAACGTTCATCCTTCAGGTCGTTCTTGATTTGGCGGTGTCCCTGTACCGTTGTTGAAGGATTCGGGTGACAAATCAGGGGATCTTGCAGGCCAGAGTAACACAAGGTTTTGACTAAAACACTGCTGTAAAACTCGAGCAACGCGTGGTCTGACGTTATCGTGTTGAAACGTCAATTTGGTCTGCTCTGTTATAAAACTGTAAAGCGTCCATTTGCAAAATCACGGCTCGGTACCCCCTAGCATTCATGCTCCCCTCAACCATATCCATTGGCATCTGCAACTATAATCTAACCCCAGATCCTAACGAAACCACCAAAAACGTTTCCTTCCAAAATACATGTGCTGATGTAACGTTCACCTGTGCGCATGTGCCCTGTCGTTGTCCTGTGAAAACGGAAACGTGATTCATCGGTATGGAAAGCTGTTATCCACTCACTTGCTCCCAATCAAAAGTGTTGTCAGCTGCACTGGAGACGTTGACTCGACCTCCTGGCATCAGAACTGGCTGTTGGATTGGACGTCTGGCATGGATGCCGTTGACGCGAAGATGTCTTTGAACTGTTCTCGCAGATACACCTATGTTGCCAGGTATGGTACGGCCTGTAAGGTATGCTGGCTATAACATGTTTCGGAGGTATCAAACGGTCTTCAAATGGGGTCGTTTCTGTTGGGCTGCCACAACTGGTCGGTCTATAGCGTGACTGTTCTGCTGAAAACGTCACCATAAGTGCTAACTGGTGTTTCTCTGGACGTTGAATCGACGAGCAACGTCACACTGCGAGGTACCAGACTATAGCTCTCTATATGCCATTATCTCGGAGACGTGGCTTGTCAAACATGTTCCAGAATGATGGATGGAGGTGTTTTTCTGACTTATAATTGTGGCCATCTTTCCCGAATCTGGCATGCGTCCTGAAAATTTCGTGCAGTTTGAAAAACAATTGGTTGTGTTTCTTCAACACACTATTTCTCTGGTTCAAATCCAAAAACGTATCATACTAAGGAGACATTTCCATGTCACAATAACTTTTGCCTCTGAGTATACAATGTATGTTCACTTTTGAGCACATATTTTGAACAATGTCAAATCACAGGACAAATTGTCTACAACGACACATATTCTCTTTCTGATCGACAGATAGGCGAGGAAAAGAATACTGAATTTGAAATTTTGGTGCAAGCATCACAGCAAACAAAATTCAAAGGTAAGAGTAACATTTTCTATCCCTATGTCATGCTCCTTCAAGTAAGTTTAACATGGACTGTATATGCCCAAATATAACTACCTTTGCAATTTCTACTGACAGGTTTATATGTATAGGTACAAAGGAAAAACATGGTAGGAAAATGATGGCATCTATTTGTGTTGCACAAAAAGGCCATATGTATCTAGTGTATGGATTGGCATATTATCAGTGAAGGCAGCCGATCACTCGACATGCACTGTAATCGCATGTCAAAGCCATTTCCTGCCTTTGTGCTGTTTGAGAAAAGAATCTGTAACCACAACCCCATACGAAAACCTTAAGGACAACTTCATTCCTTGATTCATTTTGTCACAAAACGCCCTGACCTTAGATGTAACTACATATCTGTCTCCATGCAGGACCACATGCAGAAAATTAAAGAGTATGCCTTCTGAAGATTATTGAGACAACATCATGTGAAATACTGCACATCCTCGTAAATAGCATATCTTGATAAGTTTGGGTACTAGATACGGGAAACCATGAAGCTGTTTCTTCATGCATGTAAATCGAAATTTTCGCTCGGATTGACAAACTCAGAACACGGGACGTTTTAGCGTCAGATATGCCATATCGAACATCTTGTTTCGTTCATTTCCATACCATTAGTTTACTCCGGCGTTTGATGTCAATATTGTACAGCGTTTGAGGTACACACGAGCAAGTTCACTCCACCAATGAGATTCAGATGATTCTTGCTCAAATGATTCTCGTGTCAGAAATGCAACACGAGCGCCTTTTGAAACTCTTTTAGCTTTGATTTTTCAAGATGTTTTATGGTAGACATTTCAAAATGTGCCTCATTTGACTTATGTAAATCCCTGTTGCGACTTGCACATGTTTGTTGACTTGCCTTTGCGTGTGTTTCAAACTGGTGGGCACCCTCACAGTGATTCATAAACATCTGTTGTAATATGGTTGAAATTCCACTGATAATTCTTAGTTTGGATGAATTTTTGATTTGTTTTTATATTGAAGTATGGCAATTGTGTTGCAGGGGATATTTTACAGCTTGGTGGATTTTCTATATTCCATTTATTACCTGAAACTGATTCCTACCTCACTTACGAGGGTTCACAGACGCAACCGAGCTGCATGGAAACAGTCACGTGGGTTATACTCAACAAACCCTTGTATGTTACGAAAGATCAAGTAAGACCTGGTTTCTGACATATTTCTGTGAGTGAGTGAGTGAGTGAGTGAGTGAGATGGGTTTTCCGACGCGTTGTACAGTGTTTCAGTCACAGCGTCTTAACCTTATGTGGGGAGAAATACGTCATGCAGCTTTAGACATTTACTACTCAGGCTTGGGTGTTGTGCTGAATAACCTGGAAACGTCTTTGCATCCCATTCTCCTATCTCTATATTTTAATACAATAAGGACACATTAACAAAGTCCCCTAAGAGATATAAGCCAATTAGTTACCTCTTATTTTGAGATGACAAAAATCGATCGTCTTGAACACGTTAATGTTCATGCTTTTCCACTCAGCGTCAAAGTGAACACCGTTTTTAGAGCATGTCTGTCACATTACGATGTTTCAGGTTAATATGAGTTGAAAGGTATCAGCATCGCAGGTCGAAAGCTTAAACAAAAATACAACAACAATAAGATCAGGTTTACCTACGAGGATCTATATCGTGGCGAACAAGGGATTCAAACTCACGACAAACTGTGCCTTGCACAGCAAGGGGGCACTACCCGGGGTCGCGATATTCATTGTCATAAAATTTGCTCGCAGGATACATGTTCTCGTTAGAGATCTTCAATGTTTAACTTGTATTGATATTCGCCGACCTAACCGGAGCCTCCTTTCACTCTTCAATGCAAACCGAGCCCTTTATGGCCTTTATTTTAATCTATTTACGCTTCATAAGGCTGAGATCCGACTTGTCTAGACGGGGGATTTTATACTAATGATTTCCATCAACTTGTATACCCAGCCTTGCCAAGCATTAGGGAAAGTTCAATACTATAAATAACTGTGAAATTACATGAAAATTCCTAGTGTGGTCTGTTAAGTTGATATATCCCGTAAGTATACGACAAGCTGGTATTTCGAATGTACATCATAACCAATGATTAGTCACTATTTAAGTTAGCAATGTTCAAACGTTTAAAGTGTCGTAATTACAAACAGATGTGTCGACTCCAGGGAGTTCGTGTTTTGGGTGAATTCCTCCTGTTTCAGTAGTGAACTATTTGTCATGGTTAGAGTACTGATACATATAATCAAGGCGAAATACGATTTCGAAACCGCGATTAGCAGATTCTGACTTTACTAAGTGATACAACTCTGCACATCGATTTGTACCTCCTGAGCCATTCACTCGCTCTGATATTAATATCATATACAGTGATAGAATACTCTGGGTTTCGCACATTATACCCATGTGGGGAATCGAACTTGAGTCTTGTTCCTGACGAATGAACACTTAATTCACTGGGCTACCCGACTGCCACTTATACAAATTAATGATACATATAATCTGCAACCAAAACATTTAACATGAAAATGTGGTAACAATATCTCCCAGGTTGAAAGGGCTCATTTACTTGGTACGTTGTATCCGAGTTTTAGACAAATGTTTCGGAATAATTGGATGTCCATAAAGAACAAAGAAAACAGTTAAGATATCTGCGATAATTTAAGCAGACGAAACCCGATCAACACATTATGCTATAAGCATCAGTTGCTATAGTCACTGGGGTCCGACGTGACCCAACTGTCGGTATATTGCCACTATCTCTGACAGCAAATTATCGATATCTAGTTAAGACTATTAAATAATATGAGTGCAGTTCTTCTCCATCAATAGATCAATAAACACAGCGGAATAAACAAATGCCGCCGATCGTTATCTTTGCACTTGTACCTATCCCCTAGATGGGTAAAATATGTTACTCCCAGCTTTGCGACTAGTGTTGGAATTTTACTTCAAGCGTTATAAAACCATGTTCACAGGGACAACCAAAGTATATCAATAGTGCCCTTGCAACCGTTTTTAGTGCATGGAAATTATTAAGAAGGTGGATTAGGTTTTGATACAACTATAAAAGTCACGCCTATTCCCACATCATGGTGATGAAGACCAAAAAATAATGTAGATATGTGTCCTCTGATTTCAGAAAGATACAGTAAGGATAATCGAATATAACTACATTGCTCTGGTCAACCATCTCTCGGTACTTTTGTTTTGAGGACATTCAGACCAACAGGTCTGAGATCATGCTTTTTCTAAAAATACATCTTTCTCTTTCCATCCCACAGTCAATTAACTATTGCTGGAACGTGTATCTATTGCAACAGTCAAGAAGGACTAGGAAGCCAGTGCCAAAGTAAACTAATTATTGCCATATGCCCTTGGTACATGTAGACGTGCATCACAGTGAGCATTGGCAACCAGGAATCTCTACACAAACACTGACAGGAATTTATGTCTGATGCATTACTCTTATGTGAAATTACTTTTTCCTTTTCACAGTTAAATAGCTTGCGCCAGCTGCATAAGGCGCACGAAGGATTGCCCCAGGTGCTTATGGAGAACAATTTCCGTCCACCGATGCCTTTAAATAGACGCACCATCAGAACAAATATAGCACCTAAAAAACAGGTAGGTAATATTCGAACAGTATGTGGGTGGCCTTCCTCATTCTTGTGCCCTAGGGACTCGTGGAATAATTGGTCCCCAGGACCCCCTGCATTGAGTGTCGACTTGAAGGAGGATGGTTGTGTCATCTTAGCATTGGTCGTTGCTCACGTTGCCAAACGGTGAATTGACCTGCCCAGTGAGATATACCGACAGTCATGATGTATCTGGAATATTGCTGAGTGATGCGTAAAACAATATTCACAAGTCCTTCCTCATGTGTGGCTGGTCTCACGATCAGCGAACTCGCTGTGCTTTGTCCAGGACGAGAAAGAAAGTAGGATATATATGTATTTAAAGCAGTGTTGTTGTTTCTGTATGACATATTCACATATCGGTATGTCTCACTGGAGTGAAAGAAGCAGTTAATGTGGACTATTTACCTCTTTATGTGACGTAGAACTTAAATATTTGTATCTACGTCTGTTTGCTGAACGTATAAAACGTATTGACGATTATTTGAGAGGTTTTTCAAAGTAAACCAAATATAGTTGTGTATTTACACTGCTGTAGGAACATTAAACACAGGTCTGTGTATAAATGTGTGTGTCCTCAAGTAACTGTTAATCATTTCTTTTTTGTTGAAGGAACAGAACTGTGGTGTAAAGAAAATAACATTTTATGAAGGTAAATCAATTATCAATACTTATTTTGGATTATTGTATTTCATTCTCTAGAAGGTATTAACTTTATTCCAAGTGTTTAATTTATCTTGAGATTGACGTTCGCGTTTACAACGGTTTGAACTTAGTGTCAATACAATTATATATTATTTGTAATAGTTTATAACGCTTTGTCTCACCTTTAATTTCAGTCAATGACAAATACAAGGTCACATGATTGATCAACTGTATCACAAAGACATCACGGGGATAAAATACTTCTCACTACCTGAACAGGTGAAACATTTCCTTCCACTGAACCCAACGAATCTTGGGCATGCCAATTTTTGTAATAACAGTATTCCAAAGACAAGCTAAACATTTGTAGTGGTCTGCTGTCTGAGTATTAAACGTAAACGAACGTACACAAATGTTGGTCAATATGTGTTTTATGTATTAATTAAACCTTACAAGAAGCAAAACAAACTTCACCATGTCGTGTTGAATCAGAAACTACACCACGGTAATTACTTCTAGTGTCTATACCGTCTACCTCCATCGTTTATTATAATAGGTTTTCCATTTCATTTGACCCTATTTTGTGAGTGGCCATTCTTGTACATGTGTGGAAATCCAAGTGAGAATTTCTCACGCACCACGATTAATTTTGTCATGATAATATCGAATCTAATCATCTTATCCGAAGAAACATTTTCCCCACAGGTCTGCCTGTTCATCACATTCACCTTTAGTCTTTCTCTGGGTTGGTATTGGAGGAATTCTAAAGGGACAGCTGAAATACGATTATATAGTGGTAACGGTGCAACAATGTCGAGGAGTACAGCGACGGATTTCTCATCAGAGGATGGTAGCGAACTGACCAGCCGTGGACAACAAGCATCTATAAAGTGTGCTGCAGGGGAAATCAACAAAATGTGCATCTGAGGCTGGTTCACGGAACTATGCTAAAACAGCGTTTCGTTTTATTTGAAACTAATTTGACAATTTATGTCTAGTTCATAGGACAAGGGGCTCTGTTTGACATTACCATCGACGATTACCTTACATGGACAAATGTGACGGTACCTTCAAAAGGCATCCAAAGCAAGACTTCATCAAGATAAATGACGTGTATGTGTATCTACTGAAATTTGAATATTTGATCAGAGAGCATCTCATATTCAGAGACGGTTGAGTGGTTGTCTTTGGTGTCTTCCATGGGGTAGGTATACGATGAGGTTGAGGGAGAGTGGCAGTGCTACACTACGAGGATGAATTACATGCTAACTATGCAAACTGGCAAATCAGCCACATGTGCTAATTCCAAGAATTGTTATTACTTACTTCCATTAAGCCATATTTGTTGTATGCGTATTGTGTTAGAAAATGACAAGTAGCACCGATAGGTTGTTTATTGTAAAGGTATAAAGCAAACAAATCAAACTGTATATTCATAGAAGACCGTATCAGAAAATGATATACTTTCATATACGACTCCTTCTTATGACCTTGACTTCATACACGGTTACGTGAGTAAGTACAGTTAGGTCTGACACAAATCTGTTTTGTAAGTCAACCACAATCTCAGAATTCAAAATAATTGCTAATTTCGTTGCCTTTCCTTCCTGAACATGCTTCTTTGGATTTCCGGCTATTAAGTATGAACAAAGGGCGAAAATGGGGAACTACCGTAACTTCAAGTGAGTGGGTTAAGATTGTAAGTAACATCAACAGTATTTCAGCCATATTTTAAGCCCTTAACTTCAAGGCACAATAAAGTAGGTATGGACAGGTATGTACGCACAGGTGATGCTTTGCCTTATGTTTGTACAGTTTAATAGACAGTTTGGGTCAAAGATGTGCTCCTGTCTAATTTTTCGAAACACGCACTTTAAAAGCGTTTAAAACACTGCATTTAAACATTTGTGCTGCAAGTGTGTATTTTGTGATAAGAGATTCGTCATTCAACAAAGTTTTGAATCCTAAGTCATATGAACATAATCGTTAATTTGTGATTGTTTCCTGTACTTATGCATGGAACCTTGTGTTACCTTGTTTTGTCATGGAGTAAAATACCTGGAATACCTTCGTGCTGAATGGCGCAAAAGAACGTCTTAAAACGTTCGCTGCAGTCGTACTGATGATTGTGGGAAATTCGAGAGCACTTTGAGGAGGACAATAATCAGCTTTGCTTGTTTGGAATATAAGCTCAGCACGTTCAGTTAATTATCCCGACTTGCGGCCATCAAGCACATATATTTCTATTATTCCTGACAAATTGTTTACGTGCTGAAGTGCTCGATTTAAATCTGATGACATTACATTTGATTAAGTTGATTAAAACATAGGCTAATAATAGTAATGTTTGTTTCCGGAACAACCACATGGGTGGACTACAATGCATGATTACGATTGGAGCTTGTACTCATTTGAGTTTCGATGGGCAAACTTCACTCATCTATACGCTGGTTTGAAAAGCAACACAGATGGAAGTACGGTATAGCACAGCGGATGCCGTCTTGTATTACTTGATATATGCATATATAATATACATTCATTAATACATCAGATACGATGGAGAGCAAAGGACTCGACGAAGAATATTAGGAATGTTCATTCATTTATGCATTTAGTCTTGTCAACAACACATTTTCGACGATATGATACGTACAACATGCACCAAAATCCCGTATTTCTACATGACACAAACATTAATGATTTTATTGCGAATAATATTAACTGCTACGGGTATCATCGTTTGCTTTTGGGTCTTAGATTTGCAGTGCTTGGCAACACATTTCAGCTTCGGAATATTTTTTCACGTAATTATTTGCTCTAACGCAATTTTAAGTGAATGTATGTTTTGCCCGAGATTTAATTAGGTAATTATATCAGTTAAGAGATTTAACATGTTGGTGCCGACAGGAAAAACACATCCAAAACAAAAGTAGGGAAAACAATAAGCACGTGTATGAATATAAGAGGGTAATGCAGTTTTACTTAAAGACCGTCGCTCTTAGCATTAAGGTACACAAATGACCATGGCCGCCACATGAGATGACTGCATGTGACGATTGCTGAATGTATCCACAAGATTCAGAAATTCTGGCATTGAGACATCACTCTACTGGTAACAGGCAACAGATCGTGTACCCTCCTTACACATTCATTTGTACATATTTCATATGACGTTGGGTCTACCATTATATTTCTCCTCTAGAACCAATATTTGCTTGTTGAAGGTGTGTTAGGGTTGAATATGTATTGAAAAACTACATTTGTGGATGCAATAATATTTCTTTGTTCAATAAACTATTTTTCATTTTTTCATAGTTTGGTATTTCATTTAATAGGGTGTGAACCTTTGTAGGTGGGAGAAAAGAAAAGAAAGTTCGTGAACACACTGGTAAATCTCCCCAAACACAAATGAGTAGCTATAGAAGGACGTGTTTTCCATGAATTCAGTCGTCCCTTGAATTGGTGCTTCGGGTATCCCAACACTATTCTACAACATTCATCGGGCACCCGGGTTTCATTCACTTCACGGATTACACGTGAGGTCCCATCTCCGTCTTGCTTGTCGTGTTTGCAATATTGTTACATGTGATTTAACGCTGTAACAAGGATTCGTGAATCATGAGTTCATCACTCAACTCTATCACATTATCCTTGATGAGTCAGCATTATATCCATGGACATATGGACGTGCTTTTCCGAAATTGCTACAATGGTACAGGTCTCTACCTTGTGTGACATATACTGAACAATACATGTATATAACGGAAACTACACACACACTCTCTCTCTCTCTCTCTCTCTCTCTCTCTCTCTCTCTCTCTCTCTCTCTCTCTCTCTCTCTCTCTCTCTCTCTCTCTCTCTCTCTCTCTCTCTCTCTCTCTCTCTCTCTCTCTCTCTCTCTCTCTCTCTCTCTCAAACACACACACATTTCCCAAATGTGTCGCCTGTTGACTCCAAGACATTATAGATTCCATAAAGGTGTTATGTTTTGTTTTTGGCCACCGCACCGTCTCATCAAGGCCACACCAGTGCCGCTCTCTGTAATCAGAATTCTTTGCATTTAACACGGTTCTGGTCATGTCAGCTTCAAAAACGGGACTTCAGCGGAAATTGCAACAGGAACCAAGGCCATGTTTATGTCGACGTCGTGTTTTTCAACGCAAGAACTGAATTGTTAGAGTGTGCGGGGATTTCAGAACCACACGCACCTCAGAGTCTGGAGCAGCATCAGGGCTGACATTGACCACGTACCGAGCTGCTGACACTGTTCGCATTCGGAACTACTGAATCGACATTCTATAATTTTATATTACAACAGCTCTATCCCTTTCTACTTGCGGACAATTAGATTGATTGGTCGTGCGGACATTAAGTGACTTCAATGAACCTTTGAGCAAAGGCACATGGTAAACAGTGGTACCCCGTGCACCGATGTACACCGAGTGCTTGCAGAGCCAGGCCTGGCAGGCTAACAAAGTGAGATGACGATGATCAAGGACAGTCGCCATATTTTGAAAACATCACCAACTGAAATCATCTATTTATAAGGAAAAACAACAACGAATCATTGATGGTAGGCCACATATTCCGCACAACCTGTTCCTCTGTCATCCCCTGCGAAATTATTGTCGTGGGCTCGAATCGCAGTTCTGTACGTTTGGGTGTCACAAAGGAGGTGACATCTGGGACCTGCTTCACTTAATGCTTCACACAGATCTCAAGATGTCATATAGCTGTAGCAAACACGACAGTGCGCTGGTGTGCTCTATGTATTCCACAGAAATTCAGCAGTTAAATGTCTTGGCCAACAGAACATTATATAATTAGGGATACATTGGTACAGTGATGCGTTTTAGTTCTCTGGGAAATTTATGCTGATACCTCATCCCACTCTGCAATCTGATCCAACTCAAAATTCATGTAGCCAGAAACTTTGAAATACACTAAGAGGCGGGGGTAATTGTGGCATGAATGTTTTCACTTTTAAAACTTTATATGAACATTAGTATTTTGAACCAGCTCAATTATTGATATAAAATCGACGAAGCGTTTTGAACCAAATGGCGCGTTTCTAGCAACTGCTTCATGTTGTTCCATCAAATGCCATTTATCTAAACCCCATTATGGTTGCGACGAGATAAGCAATCATGGCAAAGTAAGAAAAAACACACACTTTTGATCGTTTTCAAACTGAAATGTAAGAACACGCTCCCAGGAACACAACACATGTAATTTTTAACTGGATCTCCACTTCAGAAATCTCCTCGTTGTAGCCACTCGTCTCAAGGCAACACATTTTGATTCGAACCTTGTATCAACAGTGGTTTCAGACAATGATATAATTCACCACCAATACCATCGCTGGCCAAGAGGACATATTATGTGAGATAACAATCCGTAGACAAAAATACATCTGCAGTATCTAAGCCGGCAGACCATCACCATCCTGGAAAGAACCCATTGCACAACATCTTACTGTACTATTTATTTTTATCTGACATTATCAACATGTTACCCTGACCCGTAGGTTCCCCTAACCAGTCGCCAGTCAGTTATGTCTGAAATGGAACGAAAGTTGTTATTCAGCAGGTATGGAGTACTAATAGCCAGGCCTTCAAGGTGATGTGGCCTCATTGAGAAGACAATGTGTTCATCAATGCTTAAGGAGCCATTCTCAACGGCTCCATTTCCATATGTCAGGAGCAATCTTTATATAGGCTGTAGCTCTTCATTGCTGTTTCTATTATTTATGAATCCTTTCAAGGTGGTGATACCTTTTGACCGATTCTCTGTGTATTCTGTATGTCATGGTAACCTTTGCCTTTCATTACATATGAACAGTTACATTCTACCTGGCGTTAGTTTCTAAATGCTAGGAAGGTACGACGTACGTTTCTTCAATTGACAAATCGCCTGCAACAAGAACGCCATGACAAGAATGTACAAAATAACACAAAAACGCGTTTTAGGGTAATATTAGGTTATTATGAATAAAGAGCATTTGAATATTTGCACCAATTGGTAATTATTTCATGTTAGTAATTGAACACGATATTGGAATATGGAAAGGTGTGTCTGACAGGTTCATAATAGGCTTATACATGCACTTAGGCCAACAACAAACTAGACAAAAACAAAGCAGGCATGACCTTGCTGAGAATCACACTTATATACAGATATACAGTTGTTACCGTGGCTCTATCGAAACGACAGTCGCAACAGTACATCATCACATTATTTGAAATTAAACGACGACCCTATGATATTTCAACTTGCTTATGTCCTTATGCCACATGTTGGTTGTCACTGATCAGCTGCAAGTGGGTGTGGTAGCCGGGTGGTTAAAGTGTTTGCTCGTCACTCCGGGTACAATTTACCACATGTGAAGTCAATCTTTGGTGTCCCATTCGATGAAAGTTCTGGTTTATTACACAAGCTGGCGTAAAATCATACTCACTCACTGTAAGGCTGTTCAAATACGGTCACGTCATGTCACTTTCAATGGAAGCACGAAGTTGAAACTCAGTTTGCTTCTGATTACTAAATACAAGCGAAAAACACTTCGATATTTATATTATTAAACATTCTCCGCTAAAAAGCAGATTCGACTATTCGACGATTCTTGATCCACAGTAACTTGTTTCTGTTGACACAGGCTTTAGATGTCAAACTATTCAAATATAATATTTGGCACGAAGCTATCAAGCTGTCAGAAATCCACTTACAGCAGATTTTGTTCTGGTGTCCGTCGACGATTTTTGTCGGTTTTAGTTTCACTGATACAACAAGGGTAATGGTGATATATTTGTTATACATCCTCCTCACGTTCTCTGTGGTTACATGGTTAAATAGAACTACTCACAGTTCTGTGTTTGCATATTTGCAATCACATCATGTGTGAAATTTGTGCTCATCGGCTTCGTGAAAAGGAGTGTCGTACATAAGAGATAACTATATACATGTACACGGAATCAAAATCAGCCATTGCACAAATATGTGGCAGATTGTGATGACTTTACAAGCTGCGATGAACTGGTCTGTGAGGATATATCAGGGCATGATTAACAGTTTCTGTTATTACCCTTTTACAAACATCTTTCTGAGTCCTATTCTTGTATATTTCCAGAACCATGGAATCGCGGACTTGTTCCATTACATAAATCAGCCTTTACGAATGCGTGGATATCTCAGATTATGTTGGACGTAAAGGTAAGGTATTGCCAATACTGGCCAGCTGATATCAGATATATAATTGCACCCTGCCTTTTCTATTTCTAAAATGGATAAAATACCAGAGGTGTATTTGAAACCCGCCCAGTCTTTGTGTTTACTCAGGTTTTTAACGACGTTTAAATGTGCCACAAATACCCTTGTCATACACCTTGATTGCGTATCTTACAACGGCAACATCTCAATCAGGGCATTGTCTGTTCCACAAAGCCTCTCAATCTTTTGAATTTGAAATTGTAGTCTTGGTTGGCTGGTTGGTATGTTTGTTGTTTTTGGTAGCAATATTCCAGCTGTATGGCGGTGGTCTGTAAGTAATCTGGACCTGACAATCCAGTGATCAACAACATGGGCATCGATCTACGCAAATGGGATACGATGACATGTGTCAACCAAAGTCAGCGAGCCTGACCACCCGATCCCGTTAGTCGCCTCTTACGACAAGCATGGGTTACTGACGACCAATTCTAACCCGGATCTTCACGGGTTGTAGTCTTGGACATGATGAACATATTGTGATAACATTAAGCATGTGCAGTAGTTTAGGAGAAAATAATATTCAAAGCAATACCTGCAGGCGGAAGGGCGAACAGACGGACGAATAGGAGTGACTGAGTATGGTTTTATGTCGCTTTTCCCGGCAGACGTTGTGCCTCTGTGGAGAATGGAACACGGGTATGATCACTTTAACCACAAGGCCTCCCCACAGCCCCTTTGAAGACGGGGAAAAGCCCCTACCCAAAGCGAATACACGTTGATCTTGAAACAATACGTTCCCTTCGGCATGATGTGCAAACCGGAACAAACAAAACCATGTTGAAAGGAAATTTATGTAACGTCTAAAGCTACAAGTTCAAATGTAAATATTTTGTTTATCGATCTCGTCAATCGTTCTCTGAGTTGCGTTTTGAATACCGTATTTCCTCCAATAAGAGCCTGACCTCCAATACGCGCCGGGGGTAAAGCAGCGGTTTAAGAAATACCCGCAGGTTTTTTTTGTTATTGTTTATAATAGAACATTCAGGGAAGCTGTGCATGCAGCTGAAACACAGAATTATTGCTGTTTCTTTGATTATTTTC